TATTTCCGCCCTTAGTTCAATGACCCAGAAGTTGCTGACAGGGATGGTATTGAATATCACTGAGACTGGGAAGGCATTGCAGTGGGATCTAGCATGTTCAGAGATTCAGGATTTCCTGAATGACTAGCTGATGGCCATTCGGAATGATCTAGAACATCAGGCTTGGCCCACTGCCCTTACAGAAACATCAGGAGTACCGTCTGATCTGTGGCATGGAGACATACTTGGAGACTTTCTGGGTGGAAGTGCGGACGTTCTCAATGCTCCTTCCAAGCATATGGACCGGTAAAGGGGGTGTGGGCTCCCACATACCGAATCCTGCCGGGTCCATGGGGAGGATGCATGTGAGATTGGGTAATTCACCAAGACATCTGGGAAATTAGACCTCCTGGTATGCCCAATCGATTTTTAGTCAGTGCTCCTGGGATTACACCTGACATTTGGATGGGGTTAGGTAGTCAATGGACATTTTGGCCATTAGAACCCCCACAGCTTCAGTGTATCCGTAAACTGAAGCCAGGAGAAGTTGTCACTGTTTATGACTACGTTTGCTGGGAGGGTAGGGGACAAGGAACTACCCTGACAGGACACTTACTTTTTCAAGCTAATGATAGCTGTGTGTATGTTAATGACACCACATTACAAGACATGCATTTTAATCTCACTACCACTGCAGGCAATCATATTATTTACTGGCCTGCAGATAGAGTTTTCCAAGTAGCCCTTAGGTTCCAGATACCCTTTAATTGGACTAGTTTAGTACCTGATAGATTTCAGAATTTGTTTTCACTGTTACCAGAGATTCAAAAAAATCTCTGAAGTACAAGGGCAAATTCACATGCTTCAAAATATATATCAAGTTGAAAAGTATGCTTTCCAGACAGCTTATAGAGTATCCACTTTATGTACTAAGTATGATGTATTGTGCTTTATGACTAAGACTGTACAACAGCCCCATTATATTATTGCTATGGGAATGTTATTGCTTGTGTTGCTACTAGTTAGCTTAGGATTATGTTATTGTTGTTGTAAAAGATGTAATAATAGTAATACCTTTCATGTTTATGCTAATCATGCATTGTCATTACATCCAATCAGAACCCCTAAGATTGAAGCATCTGATGTAGAATCTGAAGTCCAGGACTTAATGCAAATAGAGATTTAAGAATGTTTGTTGTACTAGAAGTACAAAAGGGGGGGTTGTGGAAGCAGAAAAAGAACTGTCAGAAAAGAACTGCAATGCATGACAGTTTGTTAGCAAGAGTCAGGCTAACTGTAGCCCTGATAACGCGAGATTTGTAGAAGCGAGGATTGTGTGAGGCGGGTGAGAAAGAACTGTGTGAGAAGTTATTGCGACCTTGTGTAGATAATATGGAATGTAGACTAAGAGTCTACATTAGTGAGCAAAACAAGATATCAGAATGACCTATGTATAAACAAAATGCAGTTGTTGCTCATTATTGTCTGTAACAAAAGGTATAAATGCTTGCTGTAATTGTTTACTGTTGAGAGAGACCTGCTTAGCTCTCTCCCTCTGCACAATTGTGAGAGTTAATAAAGCATCTGACTTGCTGTACCCAAACAAAAAGTGAGAACTCAGTTTTTCTCCGACACCTCGGTACTGTGGACGCGGTCCGCCGACTTAATGCACTTAGAGCATTTTATGTGGGGACACACACAATCGGCTGTACACAACCGATTTCTATAAAACCGGCGTCTATAAATTCGACCTAATTTCATAGTGTAGACATACCCTAATTAATTAATTTGACATTCAGCTCTAGACCAGCTCCCCAGTCATCACCTTAAGCATTCTCTTAACCGTGTCTTCACTAAGCATTGCTGTCCACTCTTGGCCCCATTTCTCCCTATTTTGCGCAGGTATCGTTTGTGCCACTATTTCAGATGTACAGCTATCTGAACAAATTAGTGACTAAACATTTATGCACTCAAAGCTACTTCACGAATACAAGAAATCTGGCCACTTCAATCAACAGAAGAACTGAAATTCTTTGGATGCTTGCGAGAAGCATTTTTCCTTCAGAAGCTTTGCCGTGGTTTTGTCAAAAGGTTCTGAGTAATTTTCTGCTCAGTATTTGGATGCCACGATTAATCTGACTAGAGAATCTACTCCCAATTCTCAGTATATACACACTTCCTTGGTATAGGGTAGGATGCCTTCAACTGCACAGCATAAAAAGAGAAACATCCACTAAAGGAGAAGTCTTGCAAGAAGTCTTTCGCAATACAGTGAAAGAATTCACCATACAAAGACGACCACATCTACGTTGAGAGCCCTCAAATTGGCTGGGAGCAACAAGAAGTATTCCTCCAAAATGGTCTGGCTGATGTTTTTACCCCAAAATGAAAAATAAAAGGAAGCTATGGGTTCCAAACTAGCTCAGTATCATAAGAGATGCAGGTGGAGGTAGAAACAGAGAGGATTTACACAGCTCTACAAGAAAGTAGTGTCCTTGCCTCCCTTACGATGGACAGCCAACTAAGTACTGCAAAAGGACATTTCTCTTTACTGCTGACCTGGTCTTCATAAAAAGACCAGATAGTTTGGACTTACTCCCAAGGAGAAAGTCCAAGATTTACAGAGGCACAGGCTATACTCTCAAAACCAGATACAACAACAGTAGAGACGGGACAGCCCAAGAAGCAAATGCACTGTATGCCTAACCAACATGCCCTGCAAACAACTAGGTTCTCATGGGTAGGAACTGCCTTTCTTCCCTCCATAAAAAAGGAAGGACTGTTTTGTCAGCGGAATTCCTCTCAGCTGCTGCCTGCACACAGAAGTAGCATAGCTCTCCTTCAGCGCAAAATCAGAGAAGCTGGGCATGCAGTTCATATTCTGCCCTTTGTTCTAATGTCTGAACTAGATTGCTTGATGCTGCCTGTGGGAGAAGGGCATGCACCTCTGAAGCTCCTTCAGTAGCTTGAAGACCTCTCAGGAATCAAGAGATAGTTTTAGCTGTTACCTGAATTGAGAGTGAAATCTCTCTGCTTCTCTCTTCCTGGCCTTGAGAACAGAGGGTTTGGAACCATGTAGTTGGTCAATCTCCTCCAAGCAACAGTTTGAAGCTTCCTAAGGAGACGGACACACTGACCACACTTAAAAGTAGGCAACATCTACCAGCTGCACACTACTACTAAAGCCCATGAAGGGACTGTCTGATATAAAATGCAAGACTAAGAATTCTAAATACCTGAATTAGGTTTGTTTTTTTTAAGTGTAACACAGATGGAAGTTGAAATTTATATATTCAAGCTTTGTTTAAATTTCTGTAATTAAAGAATACCTGAAGCAGGTCCTAAATGGTTGAGTTTCAGTTAAGTGTCTCTGTCACCTCTTTCCTGATTAAGTGTTGTGAAACACCTCAGTTTGGTGTAATACATGTTCAGGGGGAGGGATAGCTCAGTGGTTTGAGCATTGCCCTGCTAAACCCAGGGTTATGAGTTCAATCCTTGAGGGGGCCATTTGGTGATTTAGTTGGGGATTGGTCCTGCTTTGAGCAGGGGGTTGGACTAGATGACCTCCGGAGGTCCTTTCTAACCCTGATATTCTATGATTCTTATTTTACAAGGCACAGAGGATAGGCGATTTGGCTCTGGCAGACCTGCTAGACCTTAACAAAGTTAGACAATTTCCCTGATTCCTACTCCCATGTTTTAACCACTATCAGACCACAATTTGTCTATTTGTATTATAGAGGGGCAACTGATCAAAAGGAAAGCTGTATTCCAGCCATTTGCTATGCTTCTTTAACAAAATTTTGCAATCACAATTCACTGCAGCTGTTGGGGGAAGGAAGAGAAGCAAGAACCCACATCATGTGTGCTCCGTATTACAGGCATTGTACATGAACTGAGCACCATCTCCCCTGAGGCACATAATACTGGGCATGTGAAAACACTCAGGCACTCTTTACCCAGATTCCCAAAAGTCAATTGTATGCCACTAAAAGGACAGAATCCAGACATTTTTCACGTTTTTCATTGTAATAAATCCTCTATAGCTGCCCACCTGATTATGCATAAATAAGGTGGTCTGGATGAAGGTATAAGTAATTCAGGGAGCACTGTGGTCCTCATTTTTAGGCACGCCTCAGATTAAGCTGGAAGGAAACCGAGCTCTTGGAAGATGTGGCAGACAAGGCTATGTCTACCCTAGCAAACTCATGTCATTGTCATTTGATGAGTTTAAGGTATGACACCATAGTTTTGGAGTTGCACTATCCCCAAAAGAGACCTCTTTTCAGCTGAGATTTTCCTCTGCTTCCTCCATCACTGCTCACAAAGAATATGGAGCACTGCACAGCTTGATCTCTACCTTTTAACCTGTTTTGCTGCAGCCTGACAACTTATCAGTAACTTGGCCATCACACAAAATGGAAAGCTTCTTACGTGACATGGATAAACTCTGGCTTACTCAGATATTGTTTAGGAATCAACTATAAAGACAGAGAACTAAAGAATTAGAATAGTTTAAATGTTAAAAACTTGGGTTTTTATGGAATCAGAAAAATGGCTGATTGATTATGTGTTTCTGGCAGTGCTCAATGTGCTAAGTGCAGTACAAAGGAAGGCACAGTACCTGCCACAACAGGCTTGCAAACTTAAAAAAATAAAAATATTGCTGTGGCAATGAAATCATGGACACAGACAAACAATTCTAAAGTGGCAACATTTGAACGTATAAGCGATAACCCAAACAGTTAGCACCATTCACTGGGATCTACATGATATTCCCCTACGCCATCATTCCAGTTTAAGAAAGGTGCCACCGCTATGATTTTAAAATTCTCTAAGCATCTATTCTAATTGAAAAGTCTTGTTCTCATATTAACCTAGCCTAGGATGCTCTCACCTCTGTTCAGCCAGAGTTCAGTATAAAATAAGTGAAGGGTGAAAAAGCTGCCTTCTGTGCATGACATTTGCAATTGTCAAGATATTTTTACGTAATACAACCATTAAATTAAGGTTCTACTTACCAGTTTGATCGCTACATATTCATTGGTATAGAGATTTTTGCCTGTGAAAAAGAGAAAGACTTTCAGTATCACATGTATGACAGACAATATTCCTAGCCTAAGGAGTCATGCATGATAAAGTCTCATTGTGCACTGTAAGTGCAAAGAGCAATTTAGACAATTCAGTGAACAGACCCAACATAGGTATAATTATTAATAATCCACAATAAGTATTATAGCTCACCAAGCTAGACTAGAAACAGCTTGCACTAATTCATGGCGGATAAAAATTGATTTAAAAAAATTAAATCTGATTTTTATTTAAATCGGATTTATTTAAATTAAAGGCTTTTTAGAAAATAAACTAATTTAAAATTAAAATAGAAGATTATGACAACCTATGTTAAGGCCTAAACGTACGATCATCTATTACAAATATTAACCAGTACACATCTGCTGCCATTTTAAATAGTCAAACCACTGAATTGGTACAAGTCACTGGCTAAGCATATCGAACCAGAGTTTGTTGAAGTGCTAAACCAGCTTTTGAAAGTAGTAGCCTCTTCTGCAAGTGCAGAAAGAATATTTTCTTGATTTCAGTTTATTCAACTAGTTTAGTTCAATAACTAGTTCATTCAAAGTTAAGAAACCAATGGGAGTTGAAAAGGCAGAAAAGCTGGTCTAGAATCAAGTAGGTGTGAAAGGATGAGATATACTAATTCTAAAAACTTGAAGGACATGGTAACCCAAAACAAGTTCAATTCACTAACTACAGATAATACTTCCATTGTTTAATACATTTTGATAACCTTTCAAAGCATGCTGGATACATAAGAAAAAAATTAAAAAGTTTTTTTTATTAGTTAAATAAAAATATTTTAAAAGACTGTTTTTGTGCATTTAATTGAATTGGAATTTCCATCCAAACAGAGCTTGACAGAAATTACAAGTAAAAAATTAATCTAGTAATTAAGAAATGCATCAGTCATAGTTTTTTAAAATAATAAAACATATAACAACAATTAGGAATCTGAATAAATGTCAGTTAAGCTATCTAACTACCGTATATACTCGTTCATTAGCCCGTTCGTTTATAAGGCGACCCCCCAAGATGGATAGGTAAAAATAGCAAAAACTGTATGACCCTTTCATAAGCCAATCCTATATTTCAGGGGTTGGGAAACTTTGGCTCCTGGCCCGTCAGGGTAAGCTGCTAGCGGGACTGGACATTTTGTTTACCTGGAGCGTTGGCAGGCATGGAGCCCTTCAGCTCCCAGTGGCCGCAGTTTGCCGTTCCCAGCCAATGGGAGCTGAGGGAAGTGGTGCCACTTCCCGCAGCGCCCATTGGCTGGGAATGGCAAACCGCGGCCACTGGGAGCTGGGGGGCTCCGTGCCTGCAGACGCTCCAAGTAAACAAAACGCCCCAACCCGCCAGCAGCTTACCCTGATGGGCCTGGAGCCAAAGTTTTCCAACCCCTGCTACATTTTAAAAGTCGGCGTCACAAGAAACACTCAAAAGTTTTGCTAGAATTATTTTAATGTAATCTAACAAAAAACTTGTTGTTATAATAATAACTGAACAAATATGTATTCATCTTCAAAATTACAGTCAATGTTTTAAATATCCATTTACTGATTTTAAAGTCTAATATTGTTCTAAGGTACTTATTTAAAAAGTCTTAAAATCCTTCAAAGTCCAAATCAGTCTCTGATTCACCAAACAGTTCATTAAACTCTGCTTCACTCACAGTTGCACCCAGGGCCGGCTCTGGCTTTTTTGCCGCCCCAGGCAAAAAAGCCTCCCGCTGCCCCCCCCCCCCCCCAGGGGGGGGCGGCGAGCCCCACCGTGGAGAGCGGAGCGCCGGGGGGAGGGCGGCGAGCCCCGCCGGGGCTCCGCTCTCCCCGGCGGCCAGAGGCAGCGCCGGGGGGAGGGCAGCGAGCCCAGTCGCGGCCCCGCTCTCAGGCCGGAGCGCCGCGCCGCCCCCCTCCAGGTGCCGCCCCAAGCACCAGCTTGGTGGGCTGGTGCCTGGAGCCGGCCCTGGTTGCACCTGCATTGTCATTGTAGATTTCAGCAGGGTCGTCTTCAGACTCAGATTCCTTCTCATCATTAGCCTCTGTTGTGTCATCATCAAATATGGCATCATCTTCTGACCCTTTGAGTGCATTGCTGATACAGCATTTCTGAAATGATTTTTATTTTTATTTTCCAAGGGAACCGACACCCACGCTCCTTGACCCACTGGGCGATTGATTTCAGGCTTCATAAGATTCCCGCCTTTTGTCAAGTTCGCCATGCCTGAGCACATCCATTCAGACCACATTTTGCGTAGCCTGTCTTTAAAGGGTTTGTTCAGGCAGACATCACGCGGTTGTAGAACTGAAGTTAAGCCTCCTGGTATTACAGCCAAAGTAGTTTTTATTTTTTTGGTCACATTTTTCACCTCATCAGTCTTGTGTGCCCTGAATAAGTCCAAAACGAGCATAGCAGGTTTCTTGAAAAGTGCTCCTGGTATCTTATTCCACACTTTCCCCAGCCATTCAATAGTCCCACTTTCATCCATCCACCCCTTTTTGTGTGCACGTACGATGACACCAGCAGGAAATTTCATGTTTTTAGGCAAGGTTTTTCTTTTAAAAATAACAGGAGGGAGCTTTGATCCATTTGCCAAACATGATAAAACCACCGTAAAATGGATATTTTCATGGCCAGTGGTTTTAATTAAAACTGTTTTTCACCATCACTGGTTTCCGTTCTGTTGCTCGGGAGATCAAATGTCATCGTGTTTTGTCCATATTTCCTATTTGTGACTACTCAAATGCATATTCCTTTCGATATTTTATAATAAACCTTTGGAAAGATTCAATTTTTTTCTTCCAGATCTCTCGGCAGCTTTTGCGCTATCTTTGTTCGCTGACGAAGACAGAGACCATGACGGTTCCTGAAGCGAGTACACCAACCCACTGATGCAACAAACATTGACGGCGTTACTGACTTGTATTTGTCGTCCTTTGACATTTGCAGAGCATACAGACGAATTCCAGTTCTAGTGAAAATGTACCCATTTTGTCAACATTCAACAACCCAATTATTGAGATCTTTCTCCAGCTCAGGAAATGAAGCACACCTCGTTGGACATTTTTTCTTGCTTCTTGACATATCTTTTTGTCTTTTATTTTTTCACCATTCTCTTACGTGCTTCTCATTGATACAGAATTCATGAGTAGTGGCGCAATTATTGTTTGCTTCTGCATATTCAACAATAATTGAACACTGTGTGATAAGCAGACCGTTTTCTTTTGATTTCACCATTGTTCATTTTAAATACTATGAAAAATAATCATCATCATCATCATCTAGTTACAGATTTTGTAAGACTTTATATAGGAATGTCACCTGCTTTATCACTGTCAAATTATTATTGTTCTTTGTTTTTTTCAAAGCAGCCCTGTAGATTGGCATGTCTGTGGCGATAACAGGCTATTTAAATTTTATTAGAGATTCCATCGATTCTGTGCGTTATATTTTCATATTGGCTCGAGACTTACAAGGTCCATTGGTAGAAATGCATGAAGAGATCAAATTACACAGTAGTGGACTGATACCAGTGCTATAGTACTATCGTTCATTGTATTTTTCTGATTGGCTTGTAAGGTGTAGCATTTTGTGAAATGCATGGGTCAAATGTCATGCAGATCTGCAAAAAGAACAGGAGTACTTGTGGCACCTTAGAGACTAAGGTGCCACAAGTACTCCTGTTCTTTTTGCAGATACAGACTAACACGGCTGCTACTCTGAAACCTATGCAGATCTGCAGCACTGCTCTTTTAGCATTCATTTCAAGCCAATCTAGTCCACTAAACAAAGCCTTTGCAACTTTAAAAGGCTGCAGTATTGACATCAATAAATGGGTCAGCAAACTTTGGCTCCCAGCCCGTCAGGGTCAACTGTTTTGTTTACCTGGAGTGTCCACAGGCATGGAGCCCCTCAGCTCCCAGTGGCCATGGTTAGCTGTTCCCAGCCAATGGGAGCTGCGGGAAGTGGCATGGGCCAAGGGACATGGCTGGCCGCCACTTCCTGCAGCTCCCATTGGCTGGGAACGGCGAACTGCGGCCACTGGGAGCTGAGGGGCTCCATGCCTGCGGATGCTCCAGGTAAATAAAACGACAATGTATTATATATTCAATTCAATAATTCCATAGAGCTTAAAATCATCAAATTTTGGTGTAGATCCGTTGATAAGCCGACCCGTGCTCTTTGATGCTTCCCTTTTTTACCAAAAATATTCAGCTTATGAATGAGTATATACAGTAATTGCCTAAACACATTTGTACAGACAGTGTTCTCCTAATTAGCAAAGAGCAGCACAAAATTTAGTGTAAAGGCTCTATTTTGGCTACATTTACTCTGCACCACAGTGCAGATTATGGTGATACGAATAGCAAAGAGTTGCACTTTAACTGCCCCGTGTGGATGCTGCTGATGCAAACTAAAAGGCACCTACTCCGTGTTAACATAGAGGATTATGTTAACATGAACTTGGCACCTTTTAGTTAGTGCCAGCAGTGTCCACACAGGGCAGTTTGAGTGCAACTTTTTGGCATGCTCTGCAATTCACAGCCCCGTAGTCTGCACTGTGCCGAGTGCGCACACGCCTTAAATTGAAAATCAATATGTTTTAATAGTTACCAATCACTGAAAATCAACCTCTCTTTAGAAGGATAACTAGAGAACAAATACTAAGCACAATTCAAGTCAATTATTTAAATAGATTTAAATCAGCAAGCAGAAAACCTCATTATTAAAGTTGGTGATTTAAATAAATCCACCCTGCACTAATTAGCAAGGTACCAAAGTTTTGCAGCTCACTACATACACTGACTGATATATTGTCTGTGTAGCATTCATAATACATATATTCAGTGATGTTCCCTGGGCATTTAATGCTTTTTTATTTGTACCGCACCCAAAAGATATGGGAGGCACCTTTCTACAGTCTGTTACAAATGTATTCGCGTCACAAGAAACCAAAAGAAGCTACTAAATTCTTACTGCTTTCAGAAT